AGTTCATGGGCCTTTTCATGCCGGACAAGCTTTAGACGGACTGCAGGCCAGGAGGAGGCCAGTACCCCAATGCCCTAGTCACAAGACAGGCCACCATCTGAAGGATCAGGAATAAGGAGCCTGTTCCATAGGCTTCAAGACCAAAGGTAACATCTCTGTCCACGGTGGAAGGACAGAAAGAAAGGAAGCCAGTTCCTGCGACTGCACTTGGCAGCAACGTTAGCAACCCGCTTCATGGCAGGGGGGAGTTGGGAAGATCCTGCCCTTCGCTGCCATGCTTTGGGTAGGGACCAGCAGCCTTCTGGGGAACTTGTCTTCTGCTCCTCACTCAATGGGTGGCTGCGTTTACTCTCCCAGCACAGTCCTGTGGGTCTTCACGGGCCTTCAATGATGAGCCCTTGGCTCAGCAACGTCTGGCCTATGGCAGACGAGTGCTGCCGTTTCATGCTGTTCTTCTGCTACGGGCAGTCACAAAGGTTGCCTGAGAAATTCAGAGGTGTATTGATTCCTACCAGCTTTTGCAGGAGCTTTCTCTTTTCCTCTTGGTGAGCACATTCCCAAAGCCCGAGCGTACGGCTGCACTGCTGTTCTGCCCACTGCAGCTGTTGTGCCACCTCTTCCCGTTCCCGCTTCAGGAGGGAGCTCTGTGCTTCCAGGTCACGCCGAAGGCACTTGACATCCCCTGCAAACACGACAAAGGGCAAGATTCAGAGTCTACTCAAGCAGTAGGACTTTACTGATCTTAAGCCCTTTCAGTGTCAGTCTAGGAGGGACCTGCCCCCAGCTCCTTCTCTCCCCAGGGGCCCAGCGGACAGAGGTGGTTTCATAGCAACTTTTCTGGGCAGGGGGATCACCAGAAACAAAGCGCACGAGGCTCTCACCTTGTATCACCTCCTTGGCCTGCGTGATTGTGTGCACTTGGAGTTGCAGGTGACTCCTGACCATCTCCAGCTGAGAAACGTGCTGCTGAGCCTCAAAGAGGCTGCATTGCACGCTCTCCTTCGCAGACCTACAAATTGTGGAGATGAAGAGAAATCACTTTCTTGCTTCTGACACCCACCCTGGGAGGTTTTCCAGTCAGATGTGGCTCAAAGTCCTGCCGTTTAAATCACTGGAAGGTGACAGAAAAACTCGCTACCTTTACTTACTGCTCCCTAAGCAGGTGGTAGCCCAAATGACTTGGTTCTCTTTAAAGAGGAAGAGGGACCCCCAAAGGAACTTGGCAGGTTAGAGAGGTGGGTGGACATGTCTGGTGAGCAAGAATGCCCAGAGACTGTAGAGAAGTCAAAAGACCTTTCCCTGCTGCTGCTGTAACCAACTCTAGGTCCTGCACATGCAGCCCTTCAATCCTGTCCCTCCCACCACGAGGTCTCCTCCCTGCCTTTACCTGGCCTCTGCCAGCTGCTCTGAAAGGCCTTGTAGGTCCCGCTCCAGGGCTGCCACTCGGGCCTCTAGGGCAGCCCTCTCATGCACCAGCAGCTCCTTCTCTCTGGTCACCTGGGCCAGGGCGTGCCCTTGGCAAGAGAAGTCCTGGAGCAGCTGCTCCAGACCCCTGCTAGCTGACTGGGGCTGATGGCAAATCTGAAAGCGGGACAAATGACAGTTAGAGTCCTTCCTGGGGAGCTCTGTGCAAAGAGCCAGACCCTGCCACTTTGGAATCTGTGGGCTCAAAGTTTCAGAGCATCTGCCGCATGGCACACTCTGGGAAATGCTCAGAATGGTCCGCTGTTGCTTTAAGATGGTGAAGACCTGACTGGTGAGGCTGGTGGGGAGAAAGAGGAGCTGGGCCTCTTGCTTATCTTGCCCCTGGCTCCAGCAAGGCCTGAAACCTGAGGGATGTCTGGAGGGAAGCAGAGGTCTCACGCACCGCTGTTGCTTCAGTGAGGCACAGAAGAGCACCACGCCTCTGTAACAGCCAATAGACACGCTCCCTTCCCTGTGGAAAAGCAAAATTGTTAAAAGACAGGCTCACTAAGGAGCCAAGGAGGCGTGCAAAGACCCTCGGATGAAGTTCAGAGAGCCTCTGCTGCCACCTGCGTGCCTGGAGGAGGAGCAAAGCGTTGATTCTACCTCTTTTGTCAATTGTGAATTCTCAACAATTTTGTCAACAGCTGGGATGCAAGGGCGGGTATTTTCTGCTAAATTCCCATGCCCATAACACAACACATACTAATACCCAGGGCTGCCACAAGGCACAGACACTGCTAACTCCAAAGGGATGTGTAAGGTGCTACAGGCTTGCCTGGGACCAGAACAGCTCCTTCCCCACAAACGTTCCTCCCCCAGACGACATGTTTTCCTACGACAGTCCTTCCAGAACTGACAGCTTACAAACTGAAACTCTAGTGCTGGAAACTTTCAGGAAAGGTTGAGCAAAAGCAGCTTTGCTTGCTGAAGGAAGTGAGACGACACCAGAATACTCCTCCTCAAGAGGAAGGTGTCACCTCCTTCAGTGTGTCAAGCAGCAGCATGCAATGAGGGGAGGCTTGGCAGGGAGCAGCCCAGTCATTTCTAAACTCAGGGAAGTCCGACTGAAGACCTCCCTCAGCCTTCTTTACTCCAGGTTGAACACCCGCAGCTCCCTCAGTTGCTCCTCATCAGACTTGTGCTCCAGAACCTTCCCAAGCTCCCTTGCCCTTCTCTGGACACGCTGCAGCCCCTCAATGTCTTTCTAATTGTGAGAGGCCCAAAACCAAACACAGAACTTGAGGTGCGGCTTCACCAGTGCCCAGTGCAGGGTGATGGTCACTGCCCTGGTCCCGCTTCTTTCCAAGAAGGAGAACAAGCCTGAGCCCGCCTTCTACTGCCCGGAACAGCATCTGGGCTGGTCTTGCCAGTGCAACTCCCTCTCCCACAAGTGCCAGCGAGGAAGAAAGTGACCATACCTTTGCCAGTGCCTGGGTAAGGTCAGCTTTCTCCTCCTTCAGCAGATCCTTCTGGAGCTGCCATTCCTCCACTGCCAACTCCCGCTCTGAGAAGGAGGGTTTCCTCTCAACTACCGCCGGCTGCTTTGGTCTGTGAGAACGGGACAGACAAACAAGTCTTGAAGAGCAAAACAGTCTCCTTTCCAAAACCAAGACTACATCCTATGTCCCACAGGTGGCAGCTGCAGTGACTTCCAACAGCCTTCTAGTTGGAATGCTGGAATTCCCTGACTAGAGCTGTGTCACCCTTTGTCCTTGATGCAGGTGAAACACTCGTCCTTGAGAAAGGAAAACAAGCTTCCAGAAATCACAGACCTTTTCCAGGAAGCTCACGTATTCTCAACTGAACAGCTTCCTGCCTGCTGGGTCTTATTCTGCTTTTTGATACATTGGCTAGGAGACTTCCCCAAGGTCTTCTTTGGCTGAGACATACTTTCTAAATCCAGATTACTATTCTCACAATTCCTCTTGCCTTCAGCGGGGAAACAACGAAAGAGCCTGCAAGCTCTAGGGCGAGGAGATGTGTAGGAATCTCCAGGCCAGTAATCACAGGGTCACAGGGTGATTCAGGCTGGCAGGGACTGCAGGAGGCCTCTGGCCTAATCTTCAAATCCAAGTACATGAACCTCTGTTCTTTCAGCCTCTCCCTGTCCCCAGCGGCTCTGGTCTCGTTTGGAACAATTTTTTCCAAGGTTCATAAAGCAAGCACAAGGACAGTGCTGTGCTGTATCTCAGGAGCCAGCCAGCCCTGCCCACGTGCTCCCTTCTCCCCTCTATGCTACAAACGATGGGCAGGCAAAATTTCTTCTTTGATGGGGGTTTCCTAAGTCCCAGCAATGCCCATCCCTGCCCAGAGAAAGCAAGAAAGCTTAACACTCACAGGAGCTCCTGGACACTGAGCCCTCCATCCATCCTCTCCTGCCACTCCACCTTTTCCATCTGCACTGCAGAGTCCTGACTGGTAGAAAGCTCTTCTGTCAGGGCCTGCAAAATGATTGTGGAGTTGGTATGTACGTGTCTCAATAGAAGCAGGGAGCATTTCCCTTCTCTGATCTGCTCAACTGACTTCCCCTGAGTCTTCCAAGGTTTAGGGAACGGCCCTTAGGAACTGCCTGCCAACCCTTCAGACATAACCCTTCCCTCTCCAATGCAGAGCTGGGTAGGATTCTTCTCCCCAGCCTTGGGGCCTGTCAAAGTTAGGGGTGTGGTCTAAGTTGTGCCAGGAGCTACTTAGCTAGTCCATGGAGAGGGACAGCTCCCGCCAGGGGAAAGTGTCTCCTCCGTATCCTGCAAGGCCGTGAAGTGCGTCTTTGGAGCGCTCTGTGCGCTGTCAACAGGGAGCCTGCACAGACACTGTGCACAAACCTGCTCCCTCTTCCACTGGCAGCATGCCAGGACACGGTGCTACCTCTTCTCTGGTACCAAGAGAGATTCACCGACCTCTCAGGATACCAGGAAACCGATGGCTACACGTGAAGGTTCAGAACCCACTTTCCAGGGGTCAGGGGCTGCGGTGGAGCGCTGGTGTCCTAGAGAAACTCCAGCCCTCAGCATCTTCAGCCACAAAGGGCGAGTGCTGTGTGAGCAGAAACGTGCAGCTCTGCACTGCAGCAGAGACAGTGCCAAGCAAAGCTGCCACTTACTGCTTCGGCATGTTCAGGCCGTGGAGTGGCAACACGTGGAGGTGCGTTGGCATGGCCCTCCTCTTTAGCCTCATCTTCAGGAAGAGAGAGAGCCCGAGGAGGTTCTGCTGCTGGTGTTGTGCTCTGTGGACAGACAGCAGCGTGAGGGACCTGTCTTTTAGGACCTGATTTCTGCTGAGCTTCTATTTCCTGCTGGACCGCGGAGAAATCATGAACTTGGATGGAAGGAGGATTCTAAGTCCTTCAAAGTACATGCAACTGGGCTAATTAGACCCATGAGACACTAAGGCATATTCTTGTGAATTGGATATTGCACCCTGGCTGCAATCAGCAAGCAACCTTCTGTCTGCAAACCTTGACTTTTCTCTGTTAAGAAGCTCTTGGATGGAAGATTAGGAAACAGGCAGCGATCCCTTTGCTCCTGCTGATGCAGGCACTGAAATGGACTGTCTTTCAGCCCGCCAGGCTGTCACTCTACTGCAAGAGGCCAAGCTCCCAGCTTGCTCCACAATTCTCAAGCACCAGGAAGGTCAAATGGGCCTTTCCCACTCACCGAAGGATGGGCTTCTCTCCATCCACGTGTGATGTGTCCTGCAAGAGGAAAGGGAAAAGCAACCGGATACTGTTAGAAAACAGTCTGTGCTGGGGAATCCCACAGAACAAGTCAACCCAAAGCGGGAACATGTTCCTGTACTTTTCTTTTTTTTAAGAAATTGCAGGCACTAATTCCCTTTAGCTTGCTGAAGACATTTCCCCAGGAAAGCTCCCCCAGAATCCCCCTTAGCTGTAGCACTTCTATTCTGTCACAGTAGGGGAGCAGCTGCTGGGTTCAGAAGCATACACTTGTTGTGGAGTTTGCACTTCATCACAAAGGGAATCGCTATGTCAGCACAGACAGTAAGTGTCAAGTCCCACAGTCAAATCCTTTATTGAGGGAATGAAGAAAAAAGATGCTCTCCCTCAATTCTGGAGAGAACTGCAGAGTTTTTAGAAGGACTCCTGGCAAGGTCTCCCAGTCGGCATTGTGCAAGTTGAGCCAACCGGACGTGACATGAGGAAATGACAGATTCCTCTGGTACAGCCCACCTTGTGGAGGGAAGGGAAGCCCTGCAGGTTACATTCCAAGTGCTGCCCACACTGTGCTGGCTGGAGAGACCCTCTTCTTAGCTGAAGCTGTTGACAGGAGCTTTACCTAACTAATGCCATCTTTGTGGCAGTTTTGTTTCAAGATGCCGCACCTCGGAGACCCCTCTACTTACTTGTCAGGTGAGTCAAAAAGTAGCCGGAATAGGCCAAAGAAAAAGCCGTGCAAACTGCTCCACAGAGTGGCTCCATCGCTGGAGCGGTGCTGCACACGTCCGCCGACCGTACAACACCAAGAATCGAACAAAAGAACGCTCCCGTCAGGTGCAAACCGTAGGCTGAGACGCCTCGATCAGGAGGATCCTCCTGCACTGAGCCCGCCCAAGAGCTGCTCTGCACTGAGGCCTGCCAGGCACCAGGGTAACCTTCCCTCGACAGTACTGTGACGTGGCAACATCCCATGACATCACAATGGCAGCCACAGCAGGTGGGTTTGTGAATTTATGCAGAGCAACCCAACCTTCTCTACAGCAAACGCAGAAGACGAGCCTGCAGAGTTCTCCTCTGTCCCAAAGCAGTACCAAACTCCCTTGTGGTGCACAACCTTGCCCAGACATGCCAAGACTCTTGCCTATTGGTGGGCAACACAGTGTGTTTGAGGAGCTTTACACTGGACTTTTCACGCTTAGCCACTCCAACACATTTTGCTGAAATGATCACTGCTGTCTGATTGAAAGGGAACCCCCAGCCTGACACAATTCCCTTTCAGCATGCCAGGGAACGCTGCAGGGCAAAGGGTCTGCCTTTCAGCTCTCACAGTCCTGACACTGAGGGGTAGCAGAGCTGCTAAGGAGGTGTCTTTGTTGAGCTCTTGTAGGTTCTCTGCTGTAAATAGAGAGAAAGCAGGCACTCGGAGAACAGGCTGAGAGGTGGATGAATTCCTGGAGGTCTGGTTGAGAGTGGCATTGGAACACTGATGCAATCGCTGAAAGCCCCAGCTCTAGATGGAAACTCTGTGGAGGAAATCTTGCTTCAGTTACCCAGGATAACTCCCTAAATTTGAAAGCCTGCCATTTTCCCCATTTACTGCACGGCTAACACTGACCAGCCATTTGTTGGGCTCGATGAAGGAAGAAGAACACCTTAGTGGGGACAGCCAAGTAACAAACCTACGTCACCCTGCTGCTGCAGAGCTCTGGCATCGCAAAGAAGCCCTTTGGGGTCTGTGACTCACCTGCAGGAGCTTTCCTGGGCACATCTGTGAGGCACAGAGAAGGGACTAGAGTGCACATCCAGAGAGAAGGAAAAGAAAGTGAGAACCCAATGTGGGACGACTTTGAAGGTGGTGGTAGGAGGAAAGCAGTGGGCCCAAATGGGCAAGTGCCATTTAAAAGGGGAGTTACGAGGCAGAGACCAAAGAGATCAGGTGGTGGGCAGGCCTCAGGAAGGCAGGGTGAGGAAAAGAGAAAAGCCAGAACCCTAGGAAAGCTTGAAAGCATCCTTTCCCCTTCCGTCTCTTTCAGCCAGTTCTTTTCTCCCGCGTCAAAATACATTCCTGAGCATTACCGGCAAGGGACTGGAAAAGTCTCCTTTGATTTCCATTCTCAGTTAAAAAATAAAATGAAGAGAGAAAGACCTGGGCTTTTGCCAGTGGGAAATGGTTGGCAAGTGTTTCATTTCAACCCTTCTTTATTCTTTGCTACCAAGTGCTCGGGCGCTCGTTCCATACTAGCACTCTTGCTGTCTGTGTTCTGGAGGGTGATGTTTATCCTCCGTGGAGCCTGGGCTAGGGTTTTCATTCTCATGTTTTCTGCAGTACTGGTTTATGATATGGAGGCATGGAGGTCAATAACTAACAGGATGCCAGTTTGGAGGCAGAAACTGGAATGCTTTCTTGGACTTGCAAGTTCATATTTCACGGGTCTAGGATCTACATATTCAACAGGGGTTGTGACTCTAACAATTTATTACAAAGAGGGGGTTTCAAGGGATGACATAAGGGAAAAACCTGATCTACACAATTTGGGGTTTTCACAGAGATGACATCGGCAGAAAATGCAAGTTACACTTCTTGGGGTCTTAGGAATTACCTTATGGGGAAAAACCCATCTTATCTTAGGGGTATTACATGGGGGGAAGAGGTAACGCAAAGGGAGAGATAAAACACAAAAGGTCTTCTGCACAGGTTTGGTGAGATCAGGGCATGGTTTCAAATCCGCGACATCAACGGATCCTTATCTGGACTCTAGATGGAGATTTTTTCCCAGTCTCTGCCAGCCCAAGGCTTTTGTTGAAACCCAGCAGTTTTCTTCTTCTCATATCCAAATTTTGGAATCCAGCATGGAGGGACAGATGCCTGCTCAGCAAGTTTGCTGGGGACTGTAGTGGGTTGGCTTTTGGATTTTTTAGGCCTTCCTTAGCAAGGGGGGTCAGAAATCTAAGGAAGTATTGCATATCCTCTTTGAGCGTAACACAACATATAAATAAGGCGTAGATAAGAGAGCTGGCTCTCTTCTCTCTTGCGGTGGCTGAAGGCGACAGGTCTCTCCGCAGAGGGTCTTTGCCTGTCTAGGCCAAGACCTGCCTGCTCCGACCTGCCGCTATCTCCGGTCCCTTCGGGAGGCATGGGGAGTTGGCTGGTGCCCTCGCAGTGTTCTGCTGTCCCGTTCAGGGAAGTATTTAATCTGGTTTTTTTGGACTTATTTGCTATCTCTCTATTGAAGGGGTATATTTAGAAGATATTTGTTTTTAGTTTTTTTATCCCTGTTTCCCCCTCCCTTTTCCCTTTTTCCCCCTCGGGAGCTCCCTATCGTGTGTACAATATTTTCAAATGGTATATATATGATTGTAAATATATGTAAATATAAATATATCTAATATCATTCCGTTGGTTTCGATTTCTCTCACTTTCTATAGGGTTTTTCCCCTCTGTCAAACGGGGAGGGAGGTCACCCCAACCCAAGGACAAGCACTGCAGCTCCACGGAAAAGGAAAGAGACTGCAGCTGCACAAATTCTGCTGACAAGCACAGGGGCTACTTCAGTGCCCACAATGAGCACTGCAGCCACTCAATCTCCAGCCACAGGCACTGCGGCCACTTCTGTCCCTGCACCAGGCACTGCATTTACTCGGGGGCCACTCAAACTCCAGCTGCTTCACTCCCTGCAACAAGCAGTGCCACTACCCAAGTTGCAGTGGCAAGCACTGGGGCTACTCAGATCCCAGGGACTGACACT